GCTTATTTGGGTCTAGGCTATCTTCATGTGGTGAATGGCTGGAATGGGCCAGCTCAGATTAAAATGAAAGTTTTTTCCTTTACCTTTCAAGCTAGTCCATCTCTGGTTGTGTTTCAGAGCTTTTTAATTCCCACTGCCAGTGTTAACATCTGCTGAAGTGATGACAGATAATTGCAGTGCTACAATGCTACTAGTTTTCTTCAGAAACCTTCTCTGTGTTTGTTTGCTTTTACTGACAAAGTTAATGGCAGTTGATTTAAAAAAAAAATAAAAAATCATGCCAATGGAAGTTCAGTAAAGACTGAAAATAAACAGTCTCTTACAAAGTCATGATAGTTTATTCTTGTATTGATTTTAATGAGATATGTCTGACTGTTGGGAAGAATAGGCTGAAACCTCATCAAAAAAGGCCATAGACATTCAGGGTCTGGCTATGGTGCTTCCAACAACATCCTTCTCTAAGTTACTTTCTGTCAGAGTCAGGAGTGGTGTTTAACATCTTTTCCTTACTAATTTCTATATGCACAAGCTTGTGTGTTAAAAATAAAATTCTAGATCTGGTGGGTTTCTGTCACAGCACTGTGGCATTGCTATCTCTAATTGTATCAGATACCATGTCACCTACAGCACTGTCCCAAAAACTTGGGAAAATCAGCCACCTTAGAAGCTTTTAAAGAAACCATCCAGCAGAGCAGGAAGTTGATCTACAAAGGGAGAGGTGGTTTCTGGCTGCTTCCCGAGGAAATTAGAGTCAGATCAAAAAAACGGCATTTTCAGAAATAATTCCCTTTACACGAGAGTACTGGCATTTTAGTAGGGAATGTTCAGATCTGTTCAGGAATGCAAGTGCTTGAGGCATAAGCATAAGTCAGAAAGTGTGTTTCAGAATCCCAGTAACACCAAAATGTTGACTGAATGCCTTTGTATAAATGTACAATCTTTGACTACTTGTAGGCAATTTCTAAAAATAGCTAAATAAAATAAATGCTGATTCACATAAAAATTGGATTTCCAATTTATGGGAAATTGTACACAAAAAACTTAAGTGGTTGTACTCCTAAACAGAAGAGTAATATCAAACAGTAGATTATTGGCATGATTCTCCAGTAGTTTATCCTCACAAAAATGCTCTGGACCAAAGAAAATGTGTGATTTGTAGGACAGAAGTGAAATTCTATAGTCTTAATTTGTCCTAATTGCTTAATAAATTTTTTGTCTTTAGCTTAAGAAATTTCTAGCTTAATAATTCTGTCTTTCAAATCTCTTCACAAAATATTTCTCCTTTCCCACACACTTTGCTCATTTTTGTTTTCTTTGCCTTGTGTTGCTCTTGACGTTTAAAATGGCAGAGTGAATAAAGGCCACTTAAAATATAATGTAATTCAGACAATTTTGTCTGTTTTCTAATTACTGTTTTTTTTTAATACTTCCATTCTTACTTGTTATGCTTGTTTAATGTGTTTAGTCAGCTCTTTTGTAGCAGGTATAGATTCTCATCTCTTTGCTGTTTCTTATAGTGCTCTGATTTAGTTCAAATTAACTTCACTGGTTTTACTACATTTGTTCTGTATTATTATTATTATTATTATTATTTTTTAATACAGTCAGTGTTACAATTTTATTTCAGCAAAACATTGTTTTGTAACTTTATGTGGTAGAAACACTGAAGTTTGCAATAATGGACAGTCATTCAAAATCAGGGCTATTCTGGCATGGTTTAAGGGAAACATCACTCCCATATTCAAGAAGGGGAGAAAGGAAGACTCAAGGAAGTACAGACCAAGGAGCCTCATGTCTGGAAAAATCATGGAGTAGATCCTATTGGAAAATATTTTAAGGCACATGTGAGATGAGGCGTTGATCTGAGACAGCTGGCTTCATTAAGGCACATCATGCCTGATCAATCTGGTAGCCTTCTGTGATGGAGTGACAACATCAGTCAACAAAGGGAGAGAAACTGATGTCACCTACCTGGACTTGTGTGAGACCTTTGTCATGGTCCCACACCACATCCTCCTCTGTAAATTAGAGAGGTATGGATTTGAAAGCTGGACTGTTTGGGGGGTAAGGAATTTGGATGTTTGCAGCCAGAGGGTTGTTATCAGTGGTGGAGACCGGTGACAAAAGGTGTCCCCTCGGGTCCATCTTAGGGCCAGTGCTCTTCAAATTTTCATCAGTGACAGAGACAGCAGGATTGAGTGTACACTCAGTAAGTTTGCTGGTAGCATCAAGTTGAGTGGGATAGCTGACACAGTAGAAGGTAGAGATGCTATCCAGAGGGACCCGGATGTGCTCAAATTGTAGGCAGATGTGAATCTAATGAGGTTTAATGAGGCCAAGTGCATGGTGTTATAGTTGGGCTGAAGCAATCCCAGATACGAGTACAGACTGGGAGAAGAACACCTTGAGAGCAGCCCTGTGGAGAAGGGCCTGGGGGATCCCGAAGGGTAAAAAGTTGGAACTTTTCTGGCTCAGAAGCCCAATTATATCCTGGGCTGCATCAAAAGAGAGGTGGCCAGAAGGGAGAGGGAGGTGATTGTATGCCTCTCTACTCTGCCCTTGTGAGGCCCCACCTGGAGGACAGTGTCCTTGCCTGGGGCCCCCAGTACAGGAAGGATGTAAAGATGTTGAAGTGGGTCCAAAGGAGGGCCTCAAAGATGATCAGAGGTCTGGACTACCTCTGCTATGAAGAAACATTTATGGAGTTGGGCTTGTTTAGCTTGGAGAAGGGATGGCTCTGGGGAGACATCGTTGTGGCCATCCAGTATTTGAAGAGAGCTTAACAAGTAGGAGGAAGATGAATATTTTTATTTTTATTTTTACATGATCTGATAGAGATACGACCAGGGGAATGGCTTTAAACTGAAAGAGGGTGAGTTTAGTTTAGATGTTAAGAATTTTTTCTTTTTACTCAGAGAGGGTGGTGAGGCACTGGAACAGGCTACCCAGAGGAGCTGTGGATGCCCAATCCCTGTAGACATTCAAGGCCAGGTGGGATGGAATCTGAGCAGCCAGATTGAGTGGGTGGCAATCCTGCCCATGGCAGTGGGATTGGAACTGCATGAACTTTAAGGTTCCTTCCAACCTGAGCCATTATATGATGGTTGTGGGGAGAAAAAAAAAAAAAAAAGAAAAAAAAAAAAGTTGATTTCAATTTTGAAGTCTGGATAATATATTTTCTCTAATTATGATATTTTCTCTTTTTACTGATAAGAACTCGTAAAAACAATGCTGAAATACATGAAAATAACAATGAAGTAGTATGCAAATAAAATGTTTATATGCACTTTTGCAATATTTCCATCTGTTTGAGAGGTTTGTTTCAACATTCTAATTTAACTGCTTGATTTTTAATGCATTTCAGTCAGCCAGTAAATACAGAATATATACATATTAGAGTGGAGGGGTTTATAGACAGAATTTTCTTATTAAAGTTTGTCAACAAAATCCTTGAAAATAAAATGAGCTGACAACTATAATTGGAGCAGATGTGTAAGGTACCATTATAGCACATTGCACCATTGATTACGTGTCATGCGTTCTGCCAGATATTAAGTGTTCTGACCTTTGTTATTAGTAATAGAGGCAGACACTGGGTATGTGAGAGACAGTCAGTGTAATGCATGGAAAATCTACTGGAGATGTGATTTTGTTAATGGTTGTGGAGCCTACTTTATCTCCTCTCTCTTCCTGAGCTATAAGTTTATGGAAAACTGGACATTCCAGGTAGTGAAAAAACACATTGTGAAGTGCATGCTTTGTTAGAATAATATGTTCTCAAATAATTTATAATGGAAGATCTTATCAGCAAGCATTACTGCATTTATGAATGTATTTCCCATTTTCCTCTGATCCTTAGTAATAATGTGGAAGAAGTGGAATGAAGCAAGACTTGTCTTTATTGTGTTCTCCATGAACTGTATTTTTAAATTGTTCTTTTATGCAGTATTTTCTGTCATCATGTAGAGACTGTGTAGTCAAAAGTTTGGCTAAATCCTAGCTTCGGGTATTTTTAAGCAAGATCTCAGGACAAAAAATTGGTCATAGGAAAAAAAAAAAACAACAAAAAACAACAATAAAAACAGTATAAAGGTCAACTAAAGGACAGCGATAGGCAGTTACAAGTTCAGTGGTCATACTTGGCATGGAATGGAAAAAGAGCAGGGGAAAGGGGAAAGGAAAGGAGAAGGGAAGGGGATAGAGACTAACAACCTCTCAACTGACTTGCAAAGAGCAAAAGAAATAAAAATCATAGGACAGAGAAAACTCCAACCTCAGGAGACACTGGTTTTAAGCTTCCTTCTCAGTGTTGGACATAGAACACAGAATGTCTTTCCAGTAAAACATCTAAGCAATTAGTCCAAGACTTAATGTGGAGTGTACTAAAACTAATTCATGTGAAAATCAGTGGGTTGTTGTCATGTGGCTTGAAAGCATGATTGGTCCTAAAAGTATTAAACTTCACTTGTGAAAGACATGTTACTTTCAGACAACAGAGAATTATTTAGTATCCTTTTTTTATTATTAATTTGAGATTACATTTGGGAATAACAAGCTTGGTGGCAGTAACTGTGATCTCAAATGAGGTTACGAAAAAAAAGAAAGAGCTCCTCTGGAGCGCATTTTTTATCTTGTTACTTTCTCTTTGTCATGTCATAAATTATAAGTAGGTGTTGAATTCTGGAATTCCATTGCATTTCTAGGTTTGAAATAATTTTTAAAGTGTGTCCTAAACTAAAAGCCAATTCACATTTTGAGAAAGAGGAAGTAATTTGGGACAGAAAGTAGGGACAGAGTCAGCAAATTTTGTGAAATTAGACAAAATTTGGACAAAATAGGAAATGTTGCCAGACAACTGTTATGTTTACAAAAGCAGTTGCATTCGATTCTTAAAACTTATAAACTCCTTTTAACAGTTCTAAATGATCTAGTGTTTTTACTATATGTAATATTTTTCTAACCAACCAAAATTTAAGATTTACTTTGGTGTTCATGGCAACTATAAATTTTGACTGTAGTACAAAAATCAAGTCATACTACAAGCTGTGTACAGTTATGATCTTCTAAGCAATTTGGCACAGATTAATTTGCCTCAATTCAAAAATGCATGCCTTTTGTAGTCTTACAGTGAATATAGCAAGAAGAGATCATAGAGCTGGGATACTCTATGTATGTGTATGTGTGTATATTTGTGCATATATTTCTTTTTGAAAAATACATATATGTGTCTATATATACATATGTGCACACACACGTGTTTTATATATATATATATATATATACACACACACACAGAGAGTTGACTTCCTCACCAGAGAGGGATTTCATAAGCAAAATTATTTCAATCATATATAATCTCGCTCCAACATACAATGGCTTCAACCAAGTCATTTTGAACTTATTTTTCTACTGATCTAGGCCTGTAATTCAGATAACTAAAACAGCAGTAGCCAACATTTTGTCTACAGATGACTTAACAGTTTTTAGGAAGTTATTGGAAGGTGTTAGGTACCGGTTCCCTTTCCTATTCTGTGCCAGCCCTCCATCTGCTGGGTGTAGCTATTAGATGCTAGATGAGCAAACAGTCTCCCTCTCTGCACCCTTTATGTAATGGACTGGCATCCAGCTTTGTGACTGGATATACAAGGAGCCTCCTAGCTGTGACCTCCTGTGTGACATATTCCCATCGCTTGTCATTTCCTACATTGTTTCATCAGTGTACTTCCACTCAAGGGCTCTTAGGAAACAGCCTGGCAGGAATGAGGCTACTCACACCATTCTCTTTTCACATCTTGAGGGAGCTGGTAGCAGGCAGACATTGGCTGAAGTAGTTGTTTGTTCAGCAGGGAGGTTCGTCTGTGACCCACTTGTTGAGAACCTAGGAGAGCAAGGAGTGATGGAATACAAGATGTTTTGGAGTGGTAACTTGTTGAAAACAGTGCTCAAGATCCTGCTTACTGCATATCTTGGATCAGAGATGACTCCAGAGAGGTCAAGGAAAGGAATCAAGTCCTGAATGAGGCTGAGAGCTTGACTGAAAATCTCTAAGGACAAAGTGGTTTGTCATGACATTGTGGGTAGGCTTGAGTGAAAACTAGGCTTGAGTGAAAACTTCTTTTCTAAGCCACAACACTTGGACCTGTAAAATGAGTTTGGAATCTGCATTTTCTCTTGCGTCTGTACTTATGAGAATGAGTTTTCTGAGTCTGTCTTACCAAAGCATTTCTCCTGGGTTTGTTATTGGAAAGGAAGCGTGTGCTGTCCTGAACCATTTTTTACTCTTCTTGATGTTTGTGAGACAAGGAACAGTTTTAGTTTGGATGGGCTAGTTCAGAACTAGTTACTTTATTTGATGCATTTATTTGATAGCTTATGAAAGCTAATTGGGTGTTTAAGCACTGAAAAACTGACAGAATTATTGAGTTGAGATAATTTTTTATTTTCTTAATAGTGAACTTTGATAAAGAATTTTCAACGTGAAATTCTCTAGTTTCTGGTCTTGCATGTACATTTTATTTAAGCTGTGTTTCTTGTGTCAACAAAGCAATAGTTTTCTAGTATATACATAAGGTCAGTTAACAGCTGGACCTTTATAGAGCGCACCTCTATATTTCATGTCTCATACTGCCATCTAAGGGCCACGAAGGCTGAGAAGGTGACTAAAGTTCCTTTAAAGTTTTCTGCTTACCGCTCTTCTTTTTGGGAAGTCAACAATTCACGAGTGAAAGGATGGGCAAGGAATCATAGCAATCACAGCAGACTCTTGGTGCTAAGTATTGTTTCAACTGAGGGCACAGATGAATCTTCTAGGAATCTGGAGTAAATGGAAAATCAGAATGTAAATCTGAGTTGTAGTCTTTCAGGAAGATGTTATTGCAATGAGTCTGTGTAAAAGTGAGTAAATAAGAAAGTGAAATTCATTGGATTTTAGATTTCTCTTCAATTAACTCGCTTGTACGATCATAGAATGGTTTGGCTTGGAAGAGACCCTAAGGACCATGTAGTTCCAACCATTCTGCCAAGGGCAGGGACATCTTGCACTAGATGGATCAGGTTGCTCAAAGCGCGATCCAACTGACATTCAACACCTCTAGCAATGTGGCATCCACAACTTTTCTAAGCAATCTGTTCCAGTGCCTCACCACTCTCAGTGTGAAGAATTTCTTCCTGATGTCTAGCCTAAACCTACCATCTTTTAGTTTAAAGCCATTGTACCTTGTCCTTAGTCCTGAAGGATTTCAGCTGAAACTCTTAACAGTGCAGGAGTGTGCAGTTCAGAATCTCAAAGGTACCAAAGTCCTTGATTCATAATAATGCAAAGATTAGTACTTATAATGAGAAATTATTCACCATGGTTATCCTTAAAATGATACGAAATCAGATAAACTATTTTTTTCCTAACTTTGCTTTCATCCTTTTTGTATTTGAGTGTTTCCATTTTTCGAGACTTTTGGAAAATCGTCAATAAGCATTCAAAATTTTATCAGGAAAGCTTTTGTTTCCAGGAAAAAAGAATGCTGCTTTTTGTTTGTTTTTAATCTGAAAACTGTACTTCTATAGGCTTAATTCCACAGCATCTTTCTCACCCAGATGTTTTAAACTACAGGTATGATAAGGTTTCAGTATTTGCTGATAGAGTGCTGTGTTGACATCGACAGACTGAAGTAGCTGTTGTAATGAGGACTCCTTTGAGCAAAACTCTATTTTACAATATATGAGTTGTCTTTCAGGCTAGTTTCCAGCAAACCTTGTGTAATAGAGAAAGTAATTAATCTTGCATGTTACTTTGACAGGCTCATGCAAGCAAAGACCTGGAAGAGCAGTTGCGATCTGTGTCCAGTGTGGATGAACTCATGACAGTACTTTACCCAGAATACTGGAAAATGTTCAAATGTCAGTTGAGGAAAGGAGGTTGGCAACACAACAGGGAACACTCCAGCTCTGACACAAGATCAGATGATTCATTGAAATTTGCCGCAGCACATTATAATGCAGAGATCCTGAAAAGTAAGTGCAAGATATAAAATAGGTTGTAATATGCAATAAATTAAAATCCAAAGGCATGTCAGTTATGTCAGCAATATGCTAAAGATAATCATCATCAATAAACCACCCTCAAACACAATTCTTTTCCACAGAAGTAGTTTTGGTACTTTATTCCCAGGAAGGTATAGATTGCTTTATCAGCTCAGTAAACATATTTGTCTTTAGGTATTAGAAATCCTAATTTGTAGAGACTGTGAAGATTTTTGGAAAAAGCAAAGGGAGCGTTAACAGTTCAATTCAGTGAAATGATTTTGCTCACTTTCTGTAAAATCGTGGCTGATAACATTTTCTTCTCTGACACGTTATCAGTTAGGAGATGAAATAATTCATTTGTAATAAATACTTCTATAGCCCCTTGATATTTCACATGGCCTGATTAAAAATATAATTCGCTCACAGTTGTGAGGAGAAGGGAACACAGGATTTATAGCAATCGTTTTTGACTTGATATTGGAAATCATGGACCTTTGCAGAGCCTGTTTTCTGTGAATTACCTACCAACAACTGGCTCCATGAGAGAATAAAGGGACTGTACAACTGCAGTTCTCATGCCTATTTAGCATAAGGTTATATTTGGCAAAGGCTGTATATGAAATGTTTGCCTAAATTTGCATTGATAATCTGGGCATAAATATGGCCTTTCAGCTTAACTCATGTTAATTTATAGAGATGTGCAATGCTTCCCTAGAGTTCAAGGTAGAACTCACCTGAAGCAAAAAAGAAAGGACAAGTATCAGCTTCAGCTGTGGTTTCTGTGTATCTGCCCAACTTTGTTAGGTTCCCTCTCAGCATCACTGTGACTTTGCATCTTCTCCATGGCACATTCCTGTGAAGAAGAAATTAGCTCAAAGTTAAAGCTGAACAACATGCATTTCATCCACTAAAGGATGAGACACTTGCAACACATATTCTGATTCTAAGCATGAAAAGCCTCCTATTGATTTACTGTAAGAGAGTATTGTTTTTAAACAGCTGCTTTATAACATACAAAATTCCCTATAACTTGGCAGGTATTGATACTGAATGGAGAAAAACTCAGTGCATGCCACGTGAAGTGTGTGTGGATGTGGGGAAAGAGTTTGGAGCAACTACAAACACCTTCTTTAAACCCCCGTGTGTATCCATCTACAGATGTGGAGGTTGCTGCAATAGTGAAGGACTCCAGTGTATGAATATCAGCACAAATTACATCAGCAAGACAGTAAGTTCTCATTCTTACTATAGTCCACGTGCACCTTGCAAATCCATTTATGATCATGCATATTTACATCTCTCTTATTGCCACTATGAGAAAAGTGAATAAATAAATGCCAGAATAACTAGGAAAAAACAGCTGGAAAAACTACTGGCTGAAAAAAAAAAAATAAAAAATCTTTAACATTCTCTTTCCCCAGATATACTTTGCTTAAAAATAAATAAAATTATTATGTCCAGTTCTCATTTATGAGATTATCCATGAAAGTTAATTCTGTCCTTTTTTTCATTCTTTTTCTTTCTCTTGTTTTGCATTTACTATTTGCCTGCTGTGTGAGGCACGTAATGTCTGGAAAACTAGCCTGCAGTTTTGTTAGTGAAAAGTGTATTAGGACATGTGCAGACAGGATTCATGTTGCAGAAAGAACCTTTTTAGAGCCAAACTTTGCTATATATTATGAGATATTAGTGTAATCTAGCTTTCTGTTGTGTTTTCATGTAATTTTGTTGGACTAGATCAGGACTAGTGAGCAGGTAGGAATGTGGGAATTATGCCTTGAACTTCTGTTAAAGGAAAGATGTCATCTTAAGTCATGTAAAAATAATCACAATGTTTGTGAGGGTATTTGGCTCTTGTTACAATATTCAGTAGGGTTTTGTGGTGGTGGTTGAGAGTTTTTTCCTCTTCTATCTGATTTTTTTTTATTTTATTTTATTTTTTTTTTAAGAAAGCTCATTTACTGTAAATCTTGCTTCATTTTCCAACCAGATACTTAAAGTTGAATATCGTAGTATGTGTTTATAAAACATATATACAACTGCATAGGCAACTACTAGGTTGGAAATGTCATGTCCCTGTCATGAAAGTTCTCAGTGCTCTGAACCTTCTTGAAAGGGGAATTAAAAAAAGAAAATTACAGGAAAACATATTATTCATTTTAAATAAATCTTCTGTATTCACTTCTCACCAAACCTGAAATTTGAAAATTTTTAAATCCCAAGTGAGCTAGGGCTAAAGAGCCACATAGCACAGGGATAATGCAACTCCAAATTGCTTGAGCAGGAAAAGTTACAACAGTGGTAACTTTCAGCTCTGTAGTTATTTCCCCTAATGCTGTCCTAATTCTAGTTGCTTGAAAGATGCAAATATATTTTTTTCACGTTAAGAACGAACAAATATGACCCTCTATTGTTATTCAGTTTATATAAAGTTTAGCTTACTGCAAGAAAGGATGATCTAGTTAGAGAAAGTTGTTACATTTAGCAAAGGTTTTCTGGTCTTGGAGTACAGTGTAAGTTTTGGGTAAATAATCCTTTTCTGTTCATCTTTCTTTTCATATCTTTTGAGTGAAGTCATTAGTCATTTTGTTGCCTAGGGTAAAATGTTTAGACTAGTACTGAGTTTCTTTTTTTAAGTTCTTGATGTCATTGATGATACAGGAGTAATTAAAGTATTGAAAGCTCTGTAAAGGAAAATGTTACAGGACTTATTAGAAGAAAGAGGCAATGGTATTTTGTTTTCTTGCCTATCCTGCAAAATAATAATAATCTCTGCGTTTTATATCTTATGTTTCCCGATTCTGCCTGGTTTTTGACAGAATGAATTTAAAAAAACAAACAAAAAAAAAACCAACAGCCTTATAAAGAGAGCTATAGCTATTTCTCTTTACCTGGTGTCATCTCAAATTCATTAAAGTTATATGACCACAGACACTGGGTACTATGTCAGATGAGCATTAGGAAGAAAAAAGTACTGGATTCAAGGCTCTTCTATGGAATTCAAGTGCCCTGCACACTTATTTTCACTACTATTTTGTTCTGTTTCCTGAATGAAAGGAGAACAAATGCTTAGTAGCCAGTTGTTTTCTGTTTATTCATAAGTAATCATTTTTTGTACCCTTATTTTTGGTGTGTAAATTCCTGAAGACAAGCCTCACACTCATCACCCTGCTGAAAAATGATTTAATGTGAAGCAAACTTTTCAGCTGGACGTCTTACTGTGAAGGCAAACCATAGCACTGGTTCCAGACATTAAAATCTAAATAAAGTTAATATCAGCTTTGATCAGAATTAGTCGTAAAGAAAAGAGCTCATTACAGAAAATACTTTTATGGAGAGCAAATGGTTGATTGGCAGGAAAATGGACTAGATCAGATGTTCCCAGATTGGCTTGTGAAACAGTGTGGTAGTCCAGAGAGAGGTCAACAGTTCTTTAGATCTGGCAGTAGTTCTAATGTTTCTCCTTTCTAGCTACTTAGCTTTCTTAGGAGAAAAAATAGAAAAATATTCAGCTTTGTTTTAATACAGATTGTTTCAACAAAATCTGTGGGTTTTTTAGTTGCTAAGGAGAGTTTATACAATCTTGGCTGGGTTTTGAAACGATTTCTTAAATAAGATGTGGTACAAGATCTATGACAACATTTGAGGATCACTCTAGTCAAATTTGAAAAATGAAGTAGATCTTTTTCTTCTCCTTTATCCATGACACTGCAATAGCACAGGTTAGCAGAGGTTTGTTGTATGTCTTGGCTTGTCTAATAAAGGTCTGTGGGGAAGGTGATTGGATGAGTCATTTTGGGGTTTTGATTGTTTTTTTTCCTAAATTGTTATCGATAAAATATTCATTCTCTTTTTACATGGCAAGTAATTCAGCAATTACAAAGATTGGAACTACCTGGTGCAAATGCAGCCTATCCCTCAGCTGTACATTTAGTATGCCCCACCTATAAGTTCTTTATTTGTGGAGTGAAGGGAAGCAATGAGCAGATGTCAAAAAGCCATCTCATTCCATTCTTCTTGGCTGGCAGAATGGAAGTTTTTTGGCTTCTTACAGATCATGTCATGTAAAGGTCCTAAATCGTCTTTTTTCATGTTTAGAGTAATAGTTCCACAAGGGAAAACATCTTTCCAAAGAGTTTGAAATGAGATTTAGAGGAGCTTTTCTCACAGGAAACAAGCTAGCAGCTTGAAATTGTTTGCCATATTTGAAATGTACATTGCGTTCCTTTGTACAACTTGGAGATGTATGTAACACAAGAATTTTCACTTGTTTTGAACTTTACCATTTATGTCTTTTCCCATGCATTTTTCTATGTTAGACTAATGATCATAATGATAGAGTGACTACTATTAATAGTGGAAGATAGATTGATATCAGTCTCTAATTTTCTCTGTTAAAATTTCTTGAAAAAAAAATCTGAACTGATTCAAATACAAGAAGGTAGAAGGGGTGATAGCATATTAACAAATATGAAATACAAGATTTTAGATAAGCTACCTGATATCAGACATAAGGTTTGAAATACAGTTGTTGGTATTTCTTTTTTTCTTCAAAGAAGATAGTAAAATATATAGCGATAATACAAGATTTTTCACGTAACCTATTTTCATTCTTTTCAGTATAGTAATGTTTAGTGTTTTTAAATCAAACAGCCCTATATCCTTAGCTTGAAAATCTCTTTAGACACATTGCGCTTTCTTAGGCAGGCTATGTTTGGCTGGCCTTACTGATGCTTTAGGAAATGCAAAGATCCCAAGTAATGGAAACTGAATCAATCAATTTAAGGGAAATCTGCCAAAACAAACTGCAGCCCATCAGAAAACATAATGTAGTTAATGTAAATCTGGGAAAAAAGTAGTACCTCTCCTACAGAGAAAGGCTGGGGTAGCTGGGGGTGTTCAGCCTGGAGAAGAGAAGGCTCTGGGGAGACTTGACTGAAGTTTTCCACTACTTGAAAGGAGCTTACAAACAGGAGGGAGAATGACTTCTTATATGGTCTGATAGTGATAGGACCAAGGGGAATGGCTTTAAACTAAAAGAGGGGAAATTTGGGTTGGATGTGGAGGAAATTTTTTACTTGGTGCGTGGTGAGGCACAGGAACAGGACACCCACAAAAGCTATAAGAGCCCCATCCCTGGAGGTGTTAATTTACAGCCAGGTTGGATGGTGCCCTGGGCAGCCTGAGCTGATGGGTGGCAGCCCTGTCCACGGCAGGGGGGTTGGGATTGCGTGGGCTTTAAGGTCCATTCCAATTCTGTAATCTAGACTGATAAACTTCTCTCATCTTAATATGAAAAGTTTTATTATTTTATATTTCATAAATTACTGATAAATTTATGTGTGCTGATACAACTGCACGTATGATGATAACAATGAATAAATCAATTTAGCTACTGAAGCAATGAAATATACTTTGTATAGAAATCAAGAACTGTTTTTCTTCCGGAAAGTGTGGCATGAGCTCCTATTAATCTGAAGGGAGTTGTCAATGCAGTGAATCGAAAATACATTGTCTTACTAAGAATTGGCGACCATTACCATATGTGAATTTTTCTTTGACTGGAATGCTGATAGGTTTTTTGATCAAGAGTAGGAGAGTCCTCTCCCCTGCTGGATTTAATTTTTTTTACGGTTCAAATCACTCTGAGTTCTTGTTTGCCCCGTCCTTATTTCTGTAACTCCAGCTCTGTAAATGAACAAAGGAAGAATTCCACCAGTATGGGAGCTGGAAGCAGCCAGCCACATGTCAGTATATGTGGGACACAGTTCTAGCCAGGAAGATCTTGCAAGGGTAGCTGAAGGAGCACCCTTCAGGTTGGCAAGGAGACTGTTGCACTTGGCATCGCAGTAATTGCAGATTGTGGAGTGCTAAAGGTCAAGATGGCTTGGATGGAACAAGTCAGAGCTATCTTTGCCTTGTATCCTCTGGCTGTTTCTCACCTAAGAAGTACAGCATAGAACATATGTTCCTCTGTTTCTGAGGATTTAAAAACTAATTTACATATAAAAGAATTAAAGTTTAGGGAAAAAATGGGTTTTAATAGCATTCATGCTTCTAGAAAGGATCTAATTATTCTCTTACCTCTGTGTTAGTCTGAAAAGTAGTGTAATTGCATACCTCTTTGTACCAAGAGACAGAAAATACCAGCAAGAGAAGCTGACATTGAGATCTGTAGGACATGCTGCCTTTTAGTTTAGGCTGGTGCAGTGGCATGAGGGTTAAGTATTAATTAAGCCAAAAATACACCTGATTACAGGCTATGTTTGAGAAATTACAGGTCTCCTCAACTCCTCTGAACAACAACAAAATCAGACTTTTCAAGCCTTTTAAAGTACAAATTGTGTTTGTATTTCAGTGCTGTGCCTTGCGAATAGTATGTGTTTTAATATTACACATATTCTAAAATTAAGATATGAGTTGAAGATGAATGGGTATCTTTTCCTGACATTGAAGGATTTATGAAATATATTGGATAGTAAAATACATACTTGATTTAAAAAAAAAAAAAAAAAAAATTGCTAAAAATCAGTACTGTGGAGAATAAAAAGTGATTAAGTGCCCAGAGCTTTATAAAAATATCTATGGACTATAACAATAGACCCTAAAGTCTGTAGTCCAAATATATGAAGAAAAATGAACCTTTCTTCATTTCTGAAAACAAGCATTTCAGTTTTGGCTAGGTTGAAAGATTTATGGTGGGATAAATATATTCAAAGTATTACCTGTAGATTTGTGATGAGTATACTTATTTATGATAGAGGTTTTCATTTTCTCTTTCTGTTCCTCTTCATTTTTTTTTTGTTGTATTCAGAAAAAATTGGACAGAAAATTACTCTTCTTTGTTTTAAAATGTCAGGATTTCTCAATCTGAGCTATTGAGTTTTTTGGTTCAAGAAGCTGTAAATACAGTAATCTTTAGTAATTTCTATGTGTAACTGTGGTGGTTGTTTTCCATTTGTTTTCTGACCTTAATGCAGTGTTGGTAGCACACAGGTACAGAACAGTGTGTGCAAGATCAGTCTATTAGGATCATTTCATATACTTTAATTTGCTGTCTCATATACTATAATTATTATTTTTCTCAAAACTGTGAGCAGTAAAAGCTCTCCACCTTGAAATAACCTGACCTAATACCTACTACTATTAGATCTCTTGTTCTTTTGGAGATAGAATCTCACTCTTTGCAGTCTTTCATCCTGAATGTCTGTCTTTATTAAATGGCTCACTAAGAACAGACCTGGTAGAAATGTCTTTCACCTTACTGCATGTAGCATGAATTAGTCCAGTTTTTTATTTGAAGCTGAGAAGGAGGGGAAGATATGGGCCTTTGAGCATACAGGTAAAATCAGTCCTTTACTGAATGGGGGCATCAGACCAAAACACTGGAGAACTACTCTCCAGGAGCAGCTACCCACAGGGACAGTAGACAACCAGCGATAGTGTCAGGAAAGAAGGCAGGCTAAACTGGCTTCATACACAGATGTTATGGTGCCTTTCTCAAAGTTCTTTCTAGATCTTGATATTTGGTGGTTAGATGTTACCAAGTATGTCCTGTAGTGACAAAAGTTTTTGAAATCACTGTTCTGAAGAATAGCAAGAAATAAATTAGAGATGCTGACAAAACCAGAAAGCATCACAGGAGGTCAGATAACCTAACCTGAAATGATTTCTTGAGATGGTGATTCAAATCCAACTTATGTATATTCACTTTCACTTAAACAGCTTCATTGGATTTAGAGATGCTGCTAGCACAGCTCAGACCAGAACACTGGTTATTTTTCAGTATGAATGTGATTTCAAAATACCAGAGATTATTTAAGCACATTTTCTATAACAGTCTGCTTTTCAATTATGTTTTTCTTGTGAAATGCCTTCTTGATATTTATCTTTCCTGTTAGATATAGAAAACATGTCTCCTTTGTTCAGTATGCATCAGAATATAGTCTCCTAGTATATATGCAGACACGCTAGAAAGAGAAGGAAGTACAAGTCAACAAATCCAATTGTTTTTTTTTACTTCTGTCATTTCCATTGAGGAAGAACAGATCTGGTTCTATTGTTTTCAGAAATGCTGGCCTATGTATCATCTTCAGCAATTTCTAGAAATGAGGACCGGAGTGACACAAGAAGTATAATAATATAATCTCTAAGATAAATAGTTGTCTTTGTTTTGACTCTGTTTATAAACCGTAGCTTCTAGAGGGTGTTGTAAAACACATTGCTTTTAACAGAATTTAGTAGAATAAATTGAAAGTGACCAATGAGAATAAGGAATCCAGTTTACATTTCTGTTACTTAGTGAGGTTTTTTTGTGGTGTACTAATGAATGGTAATACTTGTTAGCAACGTTCATCTCTAAAGTGATACCTTTCTCATTTTAAGTGGGTGGATAAATGCAGATGAAACAGTGATAAACATGAATTCACATCTTCAGCTCATACTCTGGAAGTGTTAGAATTTTTAGTGAAATTTATTTTAGCGTATTCCTGAAGGCCAACAAGTGCTTAGGGATTGTAACCGGCATCCTACACAGCCCACTCCACGTGGTCTGGAATCTGTTAGATTTTGCAGTATGGCAAAGTGACGCGCTCCAAGAACAGAGGAAGAACAAAGCATGCCCTTTTATTTCAAATAGCTGTAGATTGTTTTATGCAAATAATCGTGCTTCTTTTCAGCTGTTTTTATTAGTTCTCTCTGTAATGGGCTTTTACTTCTGCTTTGGAGTAGCAAATTCATAATGTTATGAGAGCAGAGAGAGATGCATATTCATTGTCCCACACTTCAGTTCATATGAAGAATCAGCTTTTTTACAGGGGACTTTATGACACATGACAGTGCAGAAACATAGAATGGCTTAGGTTGCAGGGGATCTCAAAGATCGCCTAGTTTGAACTCCCTGCCATGGCCAGGGTTGCCACCTACTATACCAGGCTACCTAGGATCCCATCCGACCTGGCCTTGAATATGCCTCCAGGGATATTCATCCACAGAGTCTCCAGACAACATGTCACAGTGCTCTCACCACCCTCTGAATAAAAAATTTCTTCCTAACTTCTAACCTAAATCTCCCCTCTCTTATATTAAATCCATCCCCCCTCATTCTGTCATTATCAGACGGTGTAAAACGTCTGTCCCTCAAGTTCTGTTGAAGTACTGGAAGGCCACAGTGATGTCTCTCTGGAGCCTTGTCTTTTCCAAGCTAAACAAGCCCAAAAAGTGAAGGATCCAATATTTGTTTGTAAGCCAAAAATGAGTATAATAATAACAAAAAGTCAGTAGAAAGTCCATTTACTGAATTCTCTGTTGAACTTAATAAAAACCCTGGAGGCTTGTCCAAATAAATATCATTATCACAGAGGGAAAAATGAATTTGACATTCATTTTAGTAGTACCAAACTTTAAACTAATTGACTTAGGCCTGTACTCATTAATGATCCAGGATCAAAATTTTAAGAACGGTATTTTGCAATTGCAGCAGGAATCCAAATGTTAATATTCTTTGAAATGTCTCTCTAAAAAGAGGAATTCTTTCCATGTTAACTCCATAGAAGGGTTGTTTTTCTCTATTGGCACAGTTATTACGTGAGAAACTTTTTTTTTTATTTGGTTTTCCCTTCTATAGAACCAAATACAGATTAATTTTCATTTTGAGATGTTACTGGAAAAAAAATTTTAAACTAACATAATGGATGTAGTAGTTCTTGCATTAAAAGCTAATTGCATTCTAATTCTCTGTAACAGAGTATAATGCAAATATTTCTACCAACTCAGTTATTTTATGATGGCACTCCCACTTTTAAACTTTTAAAAAATTCAGTTACTAAATACTGCCAGAATTCATTTTGTTAAATAGATATTTGTCATAGTAGACAACGCTTTACAAAGTTTAGGTTTAAGCTGTATAATTTAGAATGGCAATAATATGATATTTATATGAGCTGTACCAGCACACTCATACCTTGCGGGTACTTGATGAGTACACACCACACTGCTGCACCTGCATGCCTGTCAGCACCCAGGCTCACTTGTGTAATTCTGTGCAAGATTTTGTGTTTGAGATATCTTGTAGATGTGCTTTGCTTTTTGAATCATTTAAAATTATAGTTTTTTGGGTTTTTTTTTCAGTTACTTTAGCATGCAGTGTGTCCTGCCATACTATAAAAGTTATGGATTATAAACAAGGCTTTGACCTAAAAGTATGTCCTAACTTTTCAGTAGAGTATTGAGATTTTAGTCTTGAAGTGAAATCTCTTCAAGTTTTTCTGCTTTTTTTAGCAAGATACCATTGAAGTAATCTTTGTTCACTTGTTAAACTACATTTCCCACTAAAGTTGGCATTTTATTAATTAGCATACATGAATATTTAAAAACTGATTATTTCTTTATGTTCTGGTAAAATATTCAGTATATGTTCCATTAGATGACCATCTAATTTATATTTATATCAATACCAGAAAGAAAAACTATACTTTATGATGTATGTCAACATTTCTTCATGCAAAAATGTTTTGTCTAAATCCAACATAGTGCTGTTATAAACAAGCTCTGTAAATTTTGCAACAATTTATTATTATGCAACATATGTATTATTATAACCAATTGCAGTTTTTCCCTTTTAAAAATTATTCTTGTTTTCCAACTTTCCAATGCATATTCCAAGTACTATGTTTTAAATATTAAGAAGACTGGCAATTTGAAGTAATTTCCTCTAGAAGAATGAGTTATTCATGCATTTTTCTTAACACCTTTGGTAACTTTGAATTGAATGCAGTAGTATGCAAACAGGCGTGTAATAGGAGTTAACATTGAAAATATTAAATTTTATTATTTTATGTAATAATGATTTATCAGTTCAATTAAATATTTCACTGAATTATATTTTATATATATTATATATATTATATATTATATTATATTATTATATGAATTATTATATGAATTATATATTATATATATGTCTGTATTATCTTCAGTTGCACTGTTACTAGACTATAAACAAGTTCTTTTATTCTCTTTGCTTTCCCTTCTGTAGTTATTTGAGATTACAGTGCCTCTCTCTCATGGCCCCAAACCCGTAACTGTCAGTTTCGCCAATCACACGTCCTGCCGATGCATGTCTAAGTTGGATGTTTACAGACAAGTTCATTCTATCATAAGACGTTCCTTGCCAGCAACACAAACCCAGTAAGTATGAGACTTGTCTTTCCTTTCATGTTATGAGAAAGCCTATGTGATTAAATATAAAATATTGCTGGAAGCTTTCACAGTTAGGATGGGTAAACCTGTATGTATCAGTAGTAGCAAAACACATTTTGCAAAGGAGCTGATATTGTTTTACAACAAAAGACCGTTACTAAAGTAATTAGCTCAGTACCTTTCTGGCCAATGTGCCAACTAGGGGTAGATCAGTAGAAAGTGAAAAGTAATGAGTTGGTTTCTCAATAGAAAGGGCTAAAGTGAAATTGAAGTGTTAAAATAACAAAAATCACTTGTAATAGTTACATTAAAGGAAAACTATCCAAAACCAGTTATTTTTACAGATAAGGAGTTTGACATTTCTCCCTCAAACTGTATTTATTTTCCTTTTAAAATGAAACAGAAACAGCCAAAAAGTCCTACACTTTTTAAAAGAAAAATCCTGCCAGAGGTAAAAGCAGATCAGAGTGGGAAGAGGAAGTAAAGTGTTAATGAGCAGTCTGTTGAACTGACAGATAGATTTGTTCAGTTAGTCCATAGGCTTGGTGATTTTGACAGGATTATTTCAGCACTTGAAGCACTCATTTCTATCATTTTAGAGGACTGAGTGTTTGATTTCATGATGTACAAATATTAAGTAGATGATGTGTAGATAACAGTCTAATGGGTCTTTATAGAAGACCAATGAATAAAAGCTAACCTGGAATTAATTGTATGCATTTTTAGTAAGGTGAATGAACAGTTTAAAACACCCATAGAAACAAACTAGGCTGTCTTCTTTGGGTGTTTTCATTCACTTTAAGTTGGGATGCTCTCTGATGTGTTCAAGCTAAGCACGGATTATATTCTGTTTGAATTCAAACTGTTGAACTGGTTCATCAAAATTTGGATCATGAATAGTGGATTAGAAGAGCATTAGGGAATAAATCTAGTGTTGGTTTAATTAATTGGATAATACACAGATTTTAAAAACTCAAAACCTAAGAGTCAATAATAAAGTCAAATTATGCTGACTGTTGGCAGCTTCTCAGTGCTTCCATGCTAAGAACAGCTGCAATTATCATGGTAAGGCTTTATTCTAGCCAGAAAACAACTACCTGTTAAAGAGAAGCATGGAGGTGCCAGACTTCTGACTGTCCTATAATGCTAAATTAAACAAACTCTGTATAGGTTTTATTCTTAAGCACTGTTTTTACTTTCATTTCCAGGATCTCGAAGCAATTAAGATGCTTTTATTTGTTTTTAATATGTTCTTTTTAAAAGAAGTCATAGCATTTAAACTAAAAGCAATTGATTGTGTTGCTGATGGGTATCTGAATGCTTTTTGGAATCCCACTGCATATTTTAGTGGAGGTTTTAGCCTCACGTATAGCACTCATGTTACAGGGGCAGGTCTGTATGTGCTCTTTTTAAGAGAGATGTGATGATCTCATGAATTATTGAAAAGAAAATCCTGAGAATTTTTAGGGTTGTAATGCTTGGGATTTAGTAGTCTGGACTGTGTCACAATCCATGTTAGGAAGAAGAGAAAAATTACTTGTAAGACTGAGTATAACTTGTTGACCTTTTTTATGAAGTATATTTTCTGCACAACTTGATCATTTGAATTAAGGCCCATGGCTTTACCTGTTCTCCTACTTTATTCTATTTATTTCCTTTTAATAAGTAAGTGGTAGCTACTTCTACATACTTGTACAGCTGAGGCATGTCAGTTCACGCTAACTAGTGTTTCAGAATACCTTCTGGATTAATGACTTCTTACGCTGTATCCTTCTCTGCTTATGTAAAATTTCATTGACATTTGCAGCTCAGAAGATTGATGCTTTGTTTTAGAAATTTGGTGATTTTACAGGCAGTAGGGGCTAGAAGTAAAGACCAGGCGCTGCTCTCCTGCTTCAATACATGACATAGAGATCCAATTCTCTCTTTTTCCATGCTAGTGTAAGTAAAGTAGGTGCTTAGAAAGTTGATCTATATTGTAGGTGCTACATTCTCATGTATCAGGTAATGGCTTAGCATACTATTTTATGTTGAAAATGTGAAAAGTAGTATTGAAAATTTTTTGAAAGTTTTTTGTCTGATTTTTTTTTTAAGCCCTCTTGAACTTTCCTAAAATAAGTCATTTTAATGTTTCAGTCATTTTCTGTAGTATCTTTCTTTCCTAGCAGCCAGAGAAGAACTTGTAAACAAGCAGTTTCATCCCTTTTGCTGTCGATCTCCAATTCTGATGTTCAACTTCTTGGCTTTCATATCACATTGCCTTAGTGTAGTTCATCTGTGCGTAGTGTTTTCTCACACAGTCACTCTGGATGCCTTCTGTAGTAAGTTTTAAACATGTGTGTGGTATGACCAAGCTGCTCCAGGTGCAAGTTGTTTTTGTATTTAGCTTTTAAACAAAATAGCATTATAGGCCTGTAAATTGTCTGTGCCATTTCCCAAGCTGAAACGGGAGACAGGCAAAAGGACATTGTGTGCCAAGCAAGGGAGCAAGGATGATCTCATTAGTGGAGTGAAATCAGGAAACACCAGCTTGATAAAGCATGACGTGGTGCAGTGTGATGTTAAACTACAGGAAAAGAGCTGTTTAATGTGGTGAAGGGGAGTGATATCCTTGAATGATAATCATGGAAGAATGTCTTAGCACCTGCATTTTTCAGTGAGTGAGTAATGGTGCTTCTCTCCTGGAAAGGAGAAAGTGCCTAAAATGGATTATGTGTGCGTTGGTTTAACAGATGAGAATTTTAGAAGTACTACAGAAATAATGAATAGATTACAGAGCCTGGATGCATGAAATTAAGCATGACTCATTAGAAGTTGTAATGGCAGCTGTAGTGATGAAGAAATTATAAGCAAGGAAGATCAGAAAATACTTATTTACATATCCTTTGTGTGGTGAACTTACCATGGAGCATCATATCCTTTAACAGCTGCTGTTAGGACTTTTTGACTGTACTCTAGCAAATACAGAAAACTATACGTTAAACGGTTTATTTTCTCTCATGTCTAAAGTAACTTAATTAGTGCTGAAGTCCAAATCTTTAGAGTCGAGAAAGATGTCCAAGATTTGAGCAGCTGATAAGGAATAATCAGTTAATGACAACTTTTGTGTAAAGAAAGGATGTTAATAATTGGATTTTGGATTGGATACATTTTGAAGATTTGAGTTTGGTTTACAACAGTAAGTCAGAAATTACTGTCATTTATCTTATGCCTGTTTGTCAGAGAACATTTTTGTACCACCAAAGGTAATGTAGAAAATTTTGTCTGGTACCACCTATGTAGTACCTCATGTACAGATATCTTTATACTGATCCATTGATACGTAAAGTTTACATTGAAGGGTTAGAAAGCACTCACAGTGGTTTTTGGAAGCCAGAGCTAAAACTTGAAAGGTGAGATGATATCTTCAGCAAATGGTTGAACATTTCTGCACGGGGGCAGGACCTTGACTAGTTACTGATGTGATAGGAGCTGAAAGTAAGATTACGAAAGCTTTTTGTAATGGAGGGAAACAAATGGAAACAGCACTCAAAATCAATTTTTTGTTATTATGGCAATAAACCAGCACTGTATTTCATTCAATAGGTGCCACGTGGCAAACAGGACCTGTCCAAAAAATCATGTCTGGAATAATCAAATTTGCAGATGCTTGGCACAGCAAGATTTTGGTTTCTCTACTCACCTTGGAGATTCTGGTAAGTAGTTTTGCTTAGAGGATTAATTGTAGTTCCATATTTTGATTTGCCTAAAGAAGAAATTATAAGAGTTGATTTAAGAGGTTGATTATTTTTCTTTATTTCTAGCATTAAAGACCATTGCTTCTCTTTTGATTTATATTTGTTCCTGAAATGCCTCAAAGTATGAATTGGATGTTGTTTTTTTCCATGTAAAAATACAAGAGTAGGAGTACAAAATCAGAATCAAACAAAACAAAATTCTGATAATTGTGCAACTTTTCTGTGCTTTTCCAGACACGTCTGAAGGATTCCATATTTGTGGGCCCAACAAAGAGCTGGATGAAGAAACCTGTCAATGTGTCTGCAAAGGAGGTGTGCGGCCCTCAAGCTGTGGCCCTCACAAAGAATTAGACAGGGCATCATGTCAATGCATGTGCAAAAACAAACTGCTCCCCGCTTCCTGTGGGCCCAACAAAGAATTTGATGAAGAAAAGTGCCAATGTGTATGTAAAAAGACCTGTCCCAAACATCAGCCACTAAATCCTGCAAAATGCATCTGCGAATGTATAGAATCTCCCAATAAATGTTTCTTAAAAGGAAAAAGATTTCATCACCAGACATGCAGGTAAAAATTCAGTTTTTTAGCTTTTTTAATCTATCTAAAGTATAAAATTTGTGGTTACGTTGTTAGCTGTTTTATTGAATCGTTTTGTAGCCATAAATTGTAAGCCTCTCTTAATTCCGTATTTATCTTCCATATCTTTCATTGACCCAAAAATAAGCTGTTAAACTGATCCCAGGTGTACGTGTGTTACTTACATAGACTGAAGCAGCACGAAGTAATGTTACTCTCTTAGTTACAAAGACCACACTTGTGAAATAATCCAGGATTATTCGCACTGAAAACAGTGAACAAGATATGAATAGTTAATAAATGCCATACTTGCAGCTTCCTCATTCCTTGTTGCTTTCTTCATATCTCATTGGTTGAACTAACCAGTTTGAAGTAATTTAACTGTAATCCGAACCTGGTATCATAAACAAATTATTGCAAAGTGGTATCCAAATCAAGCATGCAGCGTGTTAACTTACCTGTAGGAATAACAAGATTAGCCTCAAGCCTGAAAAAAAATTGCCTGGGGAAAAAAAGGATTATGAAATTGTCTTAGAGTATACTGTAGTGGTTTCGAACTGAAGCTAGCAATAGATCATAACGTCTGTCTTTCACAAACAGGCACCTATTTAAATACAGGTTTCAAGTATAACTGTTGAAATTTGAAACTTACACTTTTCTCATTTGAGTCATTGCCAGTGTCTGGACAAAAAAAACACACCAGACTTGTACTTTGTCTCCATTATACACTAGAAAGCATTTAGCATTGTTATTGTAAGGTTACTTTAGGTCACATTCTCATTGTAATAGAATAAAAGAATAAAAAAAGGGAAAGGAAGAGGAGTTCAGGGACAACCACAGATAACTATCTTTGTATAAGTTCTATTCTTCAGTCAAGGAGAAATTGTCCCCCTTTTTAGGTATGTATGCTTTTATGCTTGTTGTCATTGAACTTATTTGAATCTAAAAGAGGCTTTTCTGTTCTTTTTTTTTTTTTTGAAGTTTGTCTTAAGCATGTAGTCACTGATCTTACTTTAGAATGCACATAGATGTAATATGAAGTACAGATGTAGCGCTACTGAAATCAGAGAGTAACTGAAGGAGTTTACTACCTGAAGGAAGTATGTTCTCATTTTCAAGATCATAGTTATGATGTGACGTAAACATACATACCATAAACAGGGTAATGCAGGCCCACTGCATTAGTAAAGAAGTAAGAAACAGTTCTGGGTAGGAAAACAGCATGCTCAACTATCAACCAAGTCTGGATTGCCACCTCAAGCTTGACAGGATAGAGAATGGTAAGCTGATTGCAAACCAATTTGAAAGTAGAAAAATATTACTCTATCTTCAAAATTAGAGAGGAAAAAAACAAGGTTTGAATGGAGCTCCAACCAGGCAATACTTCAAAAATATTCCTGAGAATCTCTCGAAATAAACCTGCTTATCTACAATAATATAGCATTGTGTTTTGTGAAGAATAGACCAGCTAAAAGTGGTTGCAAGAATATGATAGCTGCATATTAATGCCCACTCTTTATTTTTTCAGTTGTTACAGACCGCCATGTACAGTCCGAACGAAACGCTGTGATGCTGGATTTTATTTCAGTGAAGAAGTGTGCCGCTGTGTACCCACATATTGGAAAAGACCACTTATGAATTAGTGAAGAAAGCTACTTGCTATTTTGGTGTACATTTTTTCCATTAGAACAAAAGAACAACAGAAACTTTGCAAATACTTGGAATTTAATGTTCACCAGAGACCCTGTGGGGCTTTCACAGACAAATACATTGTGCTTTTCTCAAGATGTGGAAAGCAAATGTAGAAAATAACTGGGGTTCATGTTTTATAAAGAACTCAGTAAGGACTTATTTTCTGCCAATGACCAAACAGCCTAGGTTCTACTTCTTGTGATTTTTTTTAAAGAGATAATGACTATATAATTTATTTCCACTAAAACCATTGTGCAGCATTTGTTTATAGCAGTAACAATTGTTAAAGCTCACTGTGATCAATATTTTTATATCATGCAAAGTATGTTTAAAATAAAATGGAAATTGTATTATATAATGATGAGAACGTTTGATCCATCTGCCTATGGAAGGGAACTACAATTCGTCTACATTACCAGAGCTCGAAAAAAGGAGAGAAAGATATTAAGAGAAAGCACTTGTATAAGAAAAAAAATTCAGATGTTTCCTTGGAGCTATTGTATATAGCATTTGAAATACAATGAGTTAATATTTCATAATCCAGTGATACTTCCGTCTTTGGAATAAAATCAGCAAAGCAATTACAGTTAGTAACTAATGAAAACATTGCAGATCTTGCACGTACCTTGTGCAACCATAAGGTCCGCAGCAACTAGTTGTGTTCCAAAATGTACATTCTTTAATTTCTTGTTGTCCTGGTTTATCAGTATTGCATATCATGACATCATGCAGCAAGCTGTTTGGTGCCGGAGCGCTACGATTCCCGGGTCATGTGCTCCTATCAGTCTCAACTATTCTCACGTGAGTTCTGGCTTTCTGAGAGGAAGATAACTGAGAAGAGACAGACTACGCTTCCCAGACGACAGTTTTCCAGTACTCACGTGATTTCCAGTTCTGAGTGATGGGGCAGAGCGCTCTTCCCTTCCAGGAGGCCAGCTGTGAGTATCTGCTTATAAAGGCTTAGACTCTGTCTGTCTCTGTAATAGTGTTGAACATTGCTCTGTAGACATGAGCCAGGCCCCAAATAATTTGTTCCTCCTTAGATTTGCTGAGGCTGCAACCGTTCTGTCTCAAAGCTGCCTAAAATTTCAGGGTTCTGTAGGTGTCCAGGAGTGAAACTTTAACACACCAGGGCTGCCCATTTCTCTAAGGTCTCTCCAAAGTCCATCCACACTCCCTGCCATTCAGTGTTCTCTGGATTTGGGGGAGGCTTTCTCCAGATACTGTAAATACAAATACTGAGTAAAATGATGTGAAATGATTCAGGGAGTTTTACAGCATGATTATTGACCAAAAATTTCAAAATGTGTAAAGGAGTTGAAGGAGAAAGTGGAAGCTTGGTTAAAAGTCACACGTTCTATAAAATAATTATTAACTCCCACTGGGGCATAACCTCCAATGTTAAAATCATACCATATTGTATATAGACTCCAGATATGTTTCCACCAAGTGATTATAATTTTTTATACACGCTAACAGCCATAAAGAGCAAAGTGACAAACTTAAAAAAGACCTTCTAAGACCTTCTAAAAAAGACATTCTAAGTACCAAATCCTGAAACATGATAGAATGTAATCCCTTAGCAAGTTGTATTAAAAGGGATAAAATCAGTCTCTTTTTTTTCTTTTAAGCTACTAAGAGCAAGTTGGCATGGTGTCAGAAATAATGAAGAATAATATAAAATAAATATAAAATAAATATAAAATAACGATCTATTGAAAGTTATTACTACAAAAGTTAAAATGCCATCATCCTTTCTATGTTAGTATATATAGTAAAGGCTGTATACTACTAAAACAATTCAGAATGCCTTGATGTAGTTTTATTCTATCATAGAGTCAGTCAGATATCCTGGTCAAAAATCTATGTGTAAAAAAAAATAATTTGAAGGAACACATTTTATACTATGCTGGGGCCATGAAAGGGTTTCCACCAGTCCAGTATGGATCAACGTCTTGTCTGCCTAAAAAGTTGTCAGGACTTCTCTTTGTTAAAGTGAGTGCAAAATCAAGCATCTACAACTCTGGGAAAAAGGTAAGACTTTTAACTTGTATGGTAATAGCAGTGCATATAGAAAATCCACTCAAAATTAAAATGTTTCAGAAATTGGAAGGGATTTGTTAAATTACACCAAATTTATTGTGTATAGAAATCAAGCAAAGCAAGATTTTTGTAGTAGTGGGAAGATCTACTAAGATATATTTAGATGTCATTATTTTCAAGTGCTGGTTCTAAGCAGCAGCTCTTCTCTTTTTTTAATAAGATGGTAACTAGTACTTCCAGTTATTTCCTACAATGTTGAGGTTTACTTTTTTGGATAATTGCACGCTCAGATAACACAGCTCTTTAAACTGTTTTAAATAAAAGACCACCTATTTATTATTTAAACAGCATGAAGTTTAGGCATACAAATACTGAGGCATATCTTTATTACTGTACCGCCTCAGCAATCAAATGCAGGTTGAACTCCAGCTGACAACTTTATGATAATACAACCAGACTCAACTTCCCTTCAGTTAGATTGTTAGTCATGCAAATCAGCAGTGATTAAATTGACAATGAGAGCCTAATAGTAAGAGACCAATAGCCAAAACTTCATCCAGTATTACTAAAGATCAAAACATCTATGTCTCAGCAGCTTAAAAAAAAACAAAAGAATACCCTAAGAAATCAATTCAAAAGCAATTGTTATGAAGATTTAAGTGAAAAAACTGTAGGTGAAGTTCCTGGAGTAAGCTTCCTAAATTCTACTAATGTCCAATATAGAAGAAAGAATCAAAATCTGAAACCAGGAACAAAAGCTAAGTAATCCAGTATCTAACAAGTTAGATAATACACACTTGTGGTTAAAAAGGAGGAGAACACAAGCAACAACAGAGCAAAACCACATTCTAGTAAGTATGTAGATTATAAAAACTGAATATTTTAATACTGTAAAAAAAAAAAAAAAAAAAAAAAAGTAAAACAAACCAACAAATGACCACCAAACAGAGCAATGCTCACTTTAAATAATTTGAAATGCATTCAGTAAAACAAAAGAGCTAATAAAAATCATTCTATTGCAGCAAATATTTGGATTTCTACTGAAGACGATATTCTAAAGCTGCTCTCCAAAATGACAGTTACTTTCTTGAATGCATTTTTAAAAAATTTATAACCTGGAGGACTTTTGAACATTAATGGTGTAAATCACAAAGAAAAACTAAGATGTGAAGAAAGCAAAGACTTGGCTTTTGAAATATATTACAAATCAGATTTATGTTTGAGCAGTGGACTGGCCAGGAATTCTTAAAGATATACAGATAAGCAGAATAAGACACGAATGCAATTGATGGCATTTTTGGGTAATCATGCTCTCCTTCCTTACATCAAACATATAGAAAAGCTGATAGATTTACAGCATTTCCAGCTTGAGGTATTTCATTTTAATCTTGCAATTTTCAGCTTCAATTTAGTTCTTAATTACCTACTCATTAAATATATTAAAAAAATAGTAGATGTACCCTAAAAATACCTAAAAATATGGGTGATAATCATATATACAATTTATTTTGCACTAACTCTGCAATAAAAACATTATACTGCCATTTTTGTAAACAAACAAACAAAAAAAAACCAAACAAACAAACAAAAACCATCTACCATCTAGAAAAAAAATACAGGGAAAAGAAAAAAAGACTGCAGTCAATCATGCTTAATAGTAAGCAGGTTAATGCTTACACTGCACCAGGAATTTACAGCAGTTCCTGTATTCTTTCAATTATCATAACTGTATAGAGACCATAAAAAGCAGCACCTCTCTACCTTGATTAACAGAAGGGCATACAATTTACAATATGAACATTGCTAGTGCCCTGCCATGTTTGTTTAATTCATGTTAAACATGCTGATGTTAAATCAATTCTCTTAGATCCACTTACAGGACCAGTATGAAATCTTGAATGCCTATTGGAGTCATTTTGAAAGGCTTAGCATTAGTATTGCTTTGAATATTTTCATTTTTCAGTCTTCAAATCCCAATGATAACTCCAGATGCCTTTGAATTTTAATGAATTTTACCATCATTCTCTGTAATTTCCTGGCATGATACGTAGCTATCACATCTGTGCCAAAAACTAGAAATAGACTCATAGAATCATTGAGGTTGGAAAAGACCTCTAAGATTGCCTAGTCCAACCATCCAGACACCACCAAAATTACCCACTAAAACACATCCCTCAGTAAAACCATCTACACATTTCTTGAAAAACCTCCAGGAATGGTGAATCCACCACCTCCCTGGCAGCCTGTTCCAATGCATTACCACACTCTTGGAGAATTTTTTCCTAATATCCAACCTGAACATCCCCTGGTGATGCTTGAGGCTATTACTTCTCATCTTATCTCTGTTACCTGATGAGAAGAGACCGGCTCCCAGTTCACCATAACCTTCTTTCAGATGGTAGTAGTAGTAGAGGGCAGTGTCTCCCTGTGAGCCTCCTCTTCCGCAGGCTGAACAATTCCAGTTCCCTCAGCTGCTCTTCAGAAGACGTGTGTTCCAAACAATGTTTCACAGTTTGGTTGCCCTTCTCTGGACATGCCCCAGGGCCTCAATGGCTTTCCTGTAGTGAGGGACCCAAAACTGAACACAATACTTGAGGTGAGAATATGCAATCAAAAGTAAGCTCACAAACAGATTTAATATAATATAGTATGTATAAATATGTACAAATATATATAAATATATTATAAATATAAATATTAATCAGACTAAAAAATTTTTTTAACTTATTTGGAGGTATAGAACATTGATTGTGCTCAAATAGTTTCAAGGCAGACAAATCAGAGTTTTCAACTTTTGTAATTTAGTCAATATTGTATAGTCGTAATTTATAACATCAGAGGATTACTACTTAATTGAAAAAAAAAATAAAGATTAAAAAAAAAAAAAAAAAGTGATATCTGATAATGTATTCCATAGATTATTTCCGTTCACTTTTCCAATTTCAGATAAAACTTGAAAACAAAAAATACAGGACAACCTTCTGACTGAGTGATGAAGTAGACTAGGTATTTAATTACTTTTTTTCTTATGTAATAAATCTGAACAAAGGTCTAAGAAAATTAGGCCAGTTTAATACAGGCTAAACACTCCAGACTACTCTAGAGTCATTAAATAGCTCTAGATAGATGAAAACATTATACAGTATCTTATCTAGACTCATCTATATTTTCACATACAAATATTGTAATGGAATCTGAACAGTAACAAGCACCGGATTCACAATAGCACAGTTTCTAACATTTAAGTAACTTATCATTATAAAAATGTACATTTCATCTATAGTCTGCAACTATGAAGCAGGAAAGCTTAAGGTCAGGAATGCGGTGCATCACAAAAAAATCACATTACAGAAAAAAAAAAAAAAATCTTCAAACACAATACTTTGCTGTTTTACATGAACATTGCCATTTGTTGGCAAACTTGTCTGGAAATCTCTGCTTGTATGGTAATTGTATATTACAATTTATTCTCTATTCTACTAAGCAAAACACCGTCATGAAGGTTACATTGTGTAGCTTCAGACATTTTTCCTGGTAAGGGGTCTGAAGCTGTTCATTATAGATACTGACCTTTCATCCCCATTTCAGCAAACTGTATCCATTCTTTACATTTGTATCAGGCAATTGTAGTCATTGAACTCTTCCCCTTTGCCCCCTTTCTCAACTTAAATTACTTCTCTTAGATTTCTGGACCATATCTCAGTCTCCCCATAAGAAAGGCTAAAAGGGAAGTTCTATTATTAACCTATCACAGTTAACTCTATCTCCTCCAAATTGCCTTTTATGTCTTATCTCCCACTGAAAACATAATTGTTTTCCTGTATATTGCTATTAAGACCCCTTTCAGATAATCATCCAAATAAGGGGATTTAAATGTTTCTGAATGTCTAGTGATACTTTTAGCTATACATACGTGAAAGTAGTGTTAACAAGAAGTCTGAAAGTGAATGAATTGAAGCTTCACCTTCAAAGGCTATAAATGCCATCTAAGAGGGAAATAATAATAAAAGTGATTACACAGTTGAGACCTTCCTAAAGCAAGCTTGCAAATAAGAACAACACAAACAGAAAATGCTAGCAAATTATACTTAAAACATAAAAGCAGATTTTCATCATAAATTTACAATACCTCTGTACAAAATACAACTTATAGTTCTGCTGTAAGCCTTCTTCAGTCTAACACTGCACTCATACAGTCCTCAGTGATGACCAACACAGCAGCTCGGAACTACACTTCGCCTTGTAATTGGGTTGGTAGTCACCTCTCATACACACTGCATGGAAACAAGTCAGGGCTCAGGAGCAAGTAAGGTGACTTTAAGATCATACCTCCAAAAAACTTGAGATCTATGCTGTGTTGAGATCAAATAGAAAGGAAAAAAAAATCTAAAGGAAAATAATAAAATCTACTGACCTCTGAGAAGATCATCAAGAAGAATTTAGCCAAAAGCAAGTCAAAACCATTACATCTGCAGGAGACAGCTTGCTGCTGACATCACTGATTCTTTCCTCTGATTTTAATGTTATTATTCATTTTAATGGCATGACTGTGATCAGTCTTCACAGTAGCAAGGCCTGGTAAATGTCATCAAGCACTCCTATTCTTTACAAGTTGTTCCAGCAGCACTAAGTGTTCAAGGAGGGGAGAACTACATGCAATCATTGTGTCCATAATTGACTACAAGAAGTTTACCTTCAGTGCCCAACTCCTGATACAATCCCAGCTGGCTGCAGGAAGTTGCCCCCATCCAAAAATGAATTCACATCACAGTCCAGTTCTTGAGGAAGGGGGAATGTCTGCATCTGAAAAACGACAGGAAGGACCATGAGAAAAATAATGCACTACAGCCCCAGAATAGTCATTAAGAAAATACTTTCCTCTTCCTACAAGAGTGTGATAATCAGTAACTCAGAAAGCCTTTTCTTTTTTAAAAAAAAAAAAAAAAAAAAAAAACACAGCTTTCCTTCTACTTTGTGTAAATCAATGAATTCAATGAACATCACACAGAAGTAGATCTCAGATTAATGGGAAATACTTCATAGGCAAAATTTAGGTACCAACATCCAAGTCAAACAAACAGATACTTAAGTTAAGAGTGCTCTCCAAAAAGTAATTCCTGTATTTCATATTCATACTTACTGTGTAAATAGAGTAATAGGAACATGATAACTCCTTTTAAAGTGTACAGCTAAACTATTTTTCTTCTATTTTGGCTACTACCTGTAAATTCCTGAAGGCGTTCATTTAGATAAGGAACGTATTTTGTCGCAGACTTACAGGGGTTGGAAGGAAACTCTGGAGATCGTCAAGTTCAAGCCCCCACTACAGCAAGTTCCCCATGTTTACAGATGAAAGTATAGCATAATTATACATGTATATAATATAAACAAAATGCAAATACGTGCACATATGTATCCAAGTTTATATATGACTAAGCAAGGTCAACGTATATCGGAGATTTGAGTTTCAAAACAAAATGAAAATTGGGGAAAAACTATTGTTTTGAACTGCTTCTTATTTTATTAGACAATTTATGTTTACGGATGAGCAAAGATACTACATCTTTGAGATTATCCATTACCACAGCAATTCTCAAAAATTGAGTGTCTCCATTTTCCCATAATGCACCATCTCCTCCCAGTAAATATTATGGAGGAATTCCAAGGTGTGTTTATTTGCTTACTACTGTATAATCTGTAAGAGATCTATACGTATGTTTAGTTTTTCTAAGAAAGTACACATTATGCAGTACTTCTGAAATGTAATTCCATGTCAAATATTAAGTCTCTTTGAGTTTCTCTATCCTTTTACCTGCTGCACTTAATCTCACAGGCAATCCTTGAATAGCGATTAAAGTCCCACTCTTGGGTTTTCAGTCATTGGCTGTATCATTATATGCTCCCACCTCAGCGAGTGCTGTGTCATACAATCTGATTACATCTTCCCTAGTAATATGCTGACATTGGAAGAATCATAGAATGGCTTGGGTTGGAACTGTGCTTAGTTTCCTCTCATAGTAGAGACATACAGTCTCAACATTTTACTCAATGATTCAGAATTTTAGATACTTACATTGCAAAACTGATACCTAGCATCTCTGTAATTACCTTCTTTAATAAGCAGATATGAAAATATCAACCTTCATGCAATTGTACATACATCATCTCCTACTTTGATTACTGAAGTACAGAGATCAAACTAAGTTCTGTTTTCTCAGTAATGATTTTCTAAGTTCATGCAAATTGATGGGGGGAAAAAAAGCTCTGCTGAACGTACATTTTCTTATTTCACTTTAAATCTACGTTTTACATTTTAGTTACAACCAAAGCTATGCTGTAGGGCATAAAATTATCATGAAAATGGTTGAACTGTCTTGATTATAAAGGGAACAGATGCATTAGCAAGTTAAGTTACTTCAGTGCTTCTCAGCAAATAGCAGCCTATAAAAATATTTCTGAGCTCATTTATTCCCCAAGTATAAACTTGTACAGCAGTTGTTTATAGTGAATATATAATTCCAGCTATGTCTTTCTACACAGTGTAGTAAAACTGGTGAATGAAAACAGGAAACATGATTGCTTTGGATCAAAGCCATTGAGGTTTTTTTTCTCTGGTAGGAAAATTATATGATGTTAGGCTCATTAGTTCATTAGCACAACATCTGCACAGTAGTCAGGTATCCACCTATTCCCAAATGAATGACTGTAGCAACAGCTTCTCTCTCTCTTTTTTTTTTTTTAAAAACATTTAAGCAGAGGAAACCTGTATCTGAATTTTTCAAGCACAACACTAATGCATGAGTCACATACCCATCACCATGTTACTCAAAATGCTGAGAGAAGGCACAGCCTTCACAGTAAAAGCAGTAGGAGACAACTGCTCTTTGAGTGCCTCCAGGCAACAGGTCCCAGTATGCATCAAGTCCATAGGGTAAGCCCTGCCTCAAGCAGCCCATGCCACCACCAGTCACTTGGCCATGCCAGTATCAGTCACTTGTACTATGAGTATGAGAGCTTCCCCTAAAATCCAAAGCTCCCAAGAGACACATATGTACCATTCAACACTAGCTGATTCTCATATAAATTAAAAATTTAATTTATACTTACTTGAATTTGAACAGATGTTAGACTTCATTATTCCTTTTAACAGAAGTCACAGCACCTGGCGAAGAAAGTAGAGCACTCATTCTCCGCCAGTAGAATGACCACTTGTATACTAAGCAATAATAATTATCCTATTAAGACTAAAAAAAAAAAAAAAAATAGTGTTAAACATTGTGTGTCTCACACATAAAAACACTGCAGTTTTTTTCATTATTATTGTTACAAAAAATAAAATGCACATTTGATGCTTACTGTTGGGTCATTTGAAACCATTTCCAGTTGTATTTTTAATAGCTTGCCTAGGAATTATGATTACACACCATTCACAGTTATAAAACATTTAATGCATTTAATACTTTAAATAGTTTCACCCTCTATTTGGAATAGAGTTTTATTTAAAATAGTATATTGGATAAACCATCTGGCCAACAGAGACAGATAACGAGCAATAACAATACAGTGAAATTCGAATTTCTTTCAGCATTTTTTTTCAGTTTAGAAAATCTCTCATCCCTGGAGGTATTTAAGAGACTTAGGGATACAGCACTAAGGGGCATAGTTTAGTGATAGGACTTGGTAAAGCAGGTTGATGCTTGGACTTCATAATCCTGGATTTCTTTTCCAAACCATATGATTCAGGGATGAACTGATCCAGGGTTAACTGGTCACTACTGAGACATATTTTCCCTTCAAAGCTTTTCCATTGGAAATCGACTTTTTTTTTCCAAACATTTTGCATGACAAAGAAATTAGACCAAGCTGTAACCAGAAGTACCCAAGAAAGAAGGAAATATGAAAACCCAGATACTAGAAACACTTTTGAGCAATCTAGTATAATTGATTTTATTCATCATGTTTTATTAAATAAGAATGAATATTTCATTACTGACTTGTTAAGCATATATATCTATATACACTAATACTGTTCATTAATTAGTAGAATATAAGAAGATGATTTCTGTGACTGAATATAGGTATTTCTTTCCATTATAGACTACAAGTATATCTGATACATCAGTCAGGGCTGGGAGATATAAATGCAAGGCCTAGAAAGATCATGATATACTTGGACATCTGAAATGCCAGCAGACGAATTTACTTTCTCAGTTAACCATTATAATGCTTTGGTTTCTTTCCTTATTCCTGTTTGAGATATTTAATTATTCAGTTAGGTTTTTAGCTAATTCACACTTACGAATAAAATTTTACTATTTTTTAACCTAAGATGCATTCAAATGTAATACTGACTATCTCTGTAATACCTGCTAACCTTCTGCTAACTAGTCTAAATCAACACTAGTATTTTCATGCATATACATAAGGACACTCCTTGTAAGAAGTTCTTATTCCAGTTACACTGTTTCTTAAAAATTTTCAGTTACAACCTCCCCTCTGACTCACTCTAACCTCATGAACTAGGAACATTTTGAGTCAATTCCATCATTGTTCGTATCTCCTGCTATACCTGAGAAGGCATTTGATCTCATACAATATGAAGCTGTTGCTATTGTTCTAAAAATGGCCTCTAATGCATTTTCTGTGTGAACCATTTCTGAAAATTATGATGGTTGAATTTGTGGTCAAGTCAGTCATTCTGAGAAAGATCATAAAATCCCAAGAGACATGCAAAGAACAATCAATCCCTACACCAGGAAGCAAAAAGGAAGTGCCAACCCAGTGGAAATTTATTTATTACACGTTTGAAGTCTGCTGAAATAACAAAAAGTTGGACTTAACTGTCAAACGGGGCATATACAAAAGCAATGGGATTAAATCTTATTTTCGGACAGGGAATGGAATTCATGTAGGTATTAAAAATTGATATATTTTTTTTTTTTTCAAATCTCTCCTATAGAAGTTTAAAAAAAAGAAAAAGCAAATGTGATCATATGAATTACATTAGGCATCAGTGAGAAACTTTCCTTGAACTATATCCTTGCAGGAAATTGGCTAAATGTAGCCCCTTGGCGCCAAGGAGGTCATGAGCTCTGCGTCAGTGCTAGTTCATTTTTTGTGACCATGTTGTGTTGGGAAATCCTGATTCCCAGCGCTGATGTGTAAAACAAGACACTAAACTCTCTTGGGTTATACACCTGATATGCCTAACGTGAATGCAATTTAATTTCCCTAAACCTGTAAGGAGTGTATGAATATAGAACATATTTTGTATATCAGTAGGAATTTTATTTTCTAAAGTTCTGGATACTTTTTTCCCCTGAGTGCATCCCTGAATACAGAAATCACAGCATTCAGCATAGACTTTTTAGCATGTCAAACTTTAGGCTATGTTTCCACCATGTTTAATAAAATCAGGGATAATTTTGGAGAGTTTCACTTAAGAGAGAAAAAATAAAAATCTTTTCATCTACTGTGCAATTACCATAGACATATAGATACAAACTAGAATTCAAGGCATTGTAATTTAGGATGGATTTTCAAAGCCTTGTTGAAACTGCCTGGAGGGTTTCACCAGTTCTAACACCTGCTCCACCCATCAGTTATTGCTGTCTGTCCAGAGCTGTCCTGAACTAATTTCTTCTATAAAAGGAATGAAGAAAAGCATGCCACAAGACACCGCTGAAGTCACAAGAGTCAATGCGACTGTGAGGCACTGCAGATGAAGGGCTCTGCAGAGTCATACCTGAAATGGCTTAATGGACGTAATCCTGTATACACAGTCATCCACAGAGCAGCCTCCAGAACTGCCTTTTGCAGAATTTAGAAGAAGGTTGACTTAATCAGCAGAGAGGTTTAATAAGTTAAGTGCTCTTCCTGTTACTGAAATGGCTTGATAAAAAATTAGTAGGCAACAGAGGAGCTCTTAAGACTAGGACGTATACGAATCATCATCAGGAGGGAGCACCAGTACATTAAAAAACTCAATGTATTTACTAGATATATTACTTGAGAGGGATAAAGTACATAAATGTACCTACCATGGCAACAGATACAACTTGATATTAGGGAAGAAGTTGACTGATAATTGCATACAGGAATTGATTTTCACTTCTCTTCTTTGTGCTTCCATATTGGCAAGAAGGGTAACTGCCTCAGGATTGTGTCACTGTTGGAACAGATTGAACAGTGCAACTCCTGCAGCCCAGAGCTTTCACTACAGCCAGTGCACTGTTTGTTTGTTTTTGTGGGTTTTTTTTTTTCCCTTTTTCCTTTTTATTTTATTATTATTTTTTTAAATGGAAACCAACCCAACTTTTTCTACTGAAAACTTGACAGCAATTATGGAATTTATGCAAACAACTTCCTACCCAAGTATAGCACCAGTGGAGTTGCAAGTTCTCTTTACACTTTGTTCTTGGTCTATACTCATTCCCCATTTTCTTTGGTCTCTTCCTGCTCTGCCACCACATGTTAAAGGAAAATTTTTACCACATCCCACTGACAGTGGTTTTATTTGTTATCTGTTCTTCAAATAATCCACATAAAAATAACACACATTATGGAGGTCTGAATTCCAAAGAGCAATTAGATTTAGAAAAGATTTTAAAATAATGACTATGGTGTCAGCACAAATGCCTTCTAAAAAGGAAAGAGGATAAATTATTACCCACTGGTGGCTTTTAGTTATCAAGATGACACAGGACTTTTGTGGGAAAAGCTAAAGAGCCAATCAACCGTGCTGGACTGAACACACTTTAAATATACATGAGCAAAGAAAGCATCTGAACTTACAGTTATGTGCTCTGGTCATTTTAAAATCCATATATTTCCTATTTAGTACTTAAGAGCAAGTAATTTCATAGGTACTCGCAGCATAGACAAGTGATTGATTTTCAGAGCTGACAGTATCCAATACAGAATCACGGTACAAATTGCCCCAGGCAAAGCAAAGAAAAAACGTTTAATAAAAAAAAAAAAAAAAAAAAAAAAAGTAAACAGTAGGCATCTCACTCCTTAGTTAAACGTTAAGAAAGATTTTGTTGGCCAGGCCCCTACACTCATTTCTCTGAACAGTCTGTGAATAGTAGCTACTGTCTCTTTAGAAAAAAAAAAAAAAATCTAATAAAATTTGTCTTCAGTTGCTTGTGAAAAAGAAATTGTGGTTCAAAGCTCTTGGCTTTTCTCCACAATGCCACTTGAAATAGGTGAATTGTGCCTTTGGAAAGCAGATTTTCTCCAAGGTCACTGGAGAGCAAGAGTTTCTCACTGTAGTCAGGGCATTAACTTCCATTAATAACCGGTGTTTATAATGCATTCATAATGTAGCCTTTAATCCCTCTCCAAACCTTATAATTAATTCCTTCTTTAAAAATGGTAGAACTGCACAATCCTATATTTTGAGGGCTGGAGATCTGTTTCCTGCCTTGTGAGCAATAACATATATAGACAGGTTGTGACAGTAGGTAAGTAGGCAACCATTTACTATTATTTTCCACAAAATCACAGACTACTATGAGTTGGAAGAGACTACTGGAGATAGATCATCAGTCCAACCCTCCTCTGCTATACCCAACAGTAGGTTATACAGGAAAACATCCAGATGGGTCTTGAATGTCTCCAGAGAAGGAGAATCCACAACCTCTCTGGGCATTTATTCCTGTGCTCTGTCATCCTCACAGCAAAGTTTTTCCTTATGTTTGCATGAAAATTCCTATGTATCAGCTTGTACCTACTGCCCCTAGTTCTGTCACCAGGAACCATTCTATCACAAGAAGTTCATTCAGGAAGGGTTTTGTTTATGACCAGCTAGCATCACCACTTACATATATTTGCACAGAATACATCTTATAATGAGAGACAAGGCAAGAATTTATGTGGCACCCTGCATACGGGAAGAGAAGTTCCGTGGAGGAAAATTTCATGCAGGTGTAAGGCACCAACCCTCAGAATTCAAGTGATCAGGCAGAGAGAGCCTACAGAGTCCACAGAAATGATGCACTCCATGCCAGCACAAAACAAGCCATAAAACATTGCACTGCTCCACAGCAAGTGTTGAACATTTAATACAAAGCACAATCCACAATGACCATGGAACACAGAAGTTATACATCAAAAGCTTGAACAACATTTAGTTAGGGGAATTAGAAAATAACTATACGCATGATCAGAATTAGAAATTATCTTAAAGGTTAAGCTAGTTCAGAAAGATATATAATTTATAAACTTAAATTGTAGCTTACTC